CTAAACTTTTCAACTCGATACCGATACTAAGGAAAATATTCGATACTCGATACCATTTTCGATACCAAAACAAAGACTCCAAAATTCTACAGAAATATTTTATTTAATAAATAAAATACAATAAATAAATACAATAAACAATAAGAACAATATTTTGAGGTTGTATGCTGTGCACAATATTAAGCAAGCTTGATTAAAAAAACGTATAAAATTAAAATTAAGTTTTTCTTCCTTGGCTATGCTTTGCACACATAACAATGACGCTAGCCAAACCAGTTAAGAAACAAAAATAATTCTCAGCAGCTGCACCTCTTACAAAAAAAAAAAAAGTCTGAAACTGAAAAGTGCACAGAATTATTCAATCACACAGTGTTCTGATTGTGCATTTTCCACTATTCTGCACTTTAGATGAATGACTGCTTAGGTGCCACTTGTGGTGGCACTGTATCGATACTTTTAAAAACGAGTATTGTATCCGGATACAACATTTCAGTATCGATACTTTTTTGAATATCGATACTTTTGACAACCTTACTTTGAACCACGTTAAGGTGGTGAAGCAGCAAATTATTCAACTTTAAACTAGTGAACTAAGCCTCCGACTATTTATCTTGAGACACTGAGAGCCCTCTTATCTTTTTGTATCCTTGTGTCCTAAAACTGCACCTGATTAGCAAAAAAAGAGTTATTATGAAGATTTATGATAGGGCGGTTGAATATTTTTAGAGCAGTAAATTCATTAATAATGTATTTATATATTTTTATGTAACAAATTTAATAGTTCTTTAATAGTTCTTGTGTAATTTGTTAATCTTATATAGCTGAAAAGCTCTGTGTTTATTTGGCTAATAAACTGGTTTGCAGTTTACAGGGTTGTGAATTGGTAAGAATATCATGACACATCTGTCATGATATTCTATATGTTCCGATATAGACGAAAAGATGATACATTGTTATTTTTGTAGTAATACAGCTCTGAAAAACCTCAGGAGGTCTAGTTGTTCCACCAGCGCAGTGCACTGCCAGATGGAGGTTTAAAAGTTATATAAAAGACAATTACTTTTATTTATACCTTTAAATATTTTTTTTACATATAAGATCCAGTTCAGTCGAATTTTGAACCAATACAAATGTCTTCTAATAGAATAATTTGATATCTGATAGTCTGGCGTGTTAATATTGCTAATGTTCATTGAGCCTAACATTCAAAACTCCTCATTTTACTTTTGTTCTCTAATTAAATGCTTTAAAAGACTCAAGCAATGTTAAATAATGCTCTTTATTTTATATTTACTGTACTCTGTTGCAGATTATGAAAAGAAATCTAAACAACGTGAAGAGAATGACATCACACCCAATATATCAGTATTGTGAGTGACTTCACTTCATTGGTTTTAACATCATCAATTTGTTATAATGCATCATCTGTCTTAATTTCTACACATGCCTGTGACATATGCCGGTTTACCTCCCTGTGCTGCAGACATGACGGGGGCTCAGGATGGCAGTGTGAGAATGTTTGAATGGAACAGACCGCAGCAGCTCATTTGCTTCAGACAAGCAGGCAACGCTCGTGTCACCCGGCTCTACTTCAACTCCCAAGGCAATAAGGTACACAAACACAGAGAGGGAGAGAGAGCGTCGGCTGTTTTGTCTGCTTGCTCTGATTATCCTGAACTGTTGTTGCAGTGTGGAGTTGCTGATGGCGAAGGTTTCCTCAGCCTCTGGCAGGTCAATCAGACATCGTCCAACCCCAAACCTTACCTGGTGAGGTCAAATTCCCACCTCTACTTCCTGTTGTTTGGTAAAGAACAACCGCTTTTAACTTGCTTTTCTGTTGTTGTTGCTGTCAGAGTTGGCAGTGCCACTCAAAGACCTGTGGCGATTTCGCCTTCATCACATCCTCCAGCCTGATTGCAACAGCTGGGCAGTCCAATGATAACAGGTCAGCATCTGCATTGAAAACTAAATAAAAAGGTTTTACTTTTTTAACTCCCTATTTATTATGTTAATGTTTGCAGAAACGTTTGCTTGTGGGACACTCTGATTTCACCTGGCAATACTATAGTCCATGGTAAGAAACCTTATGTGTTACAATAAAAACAAATCTAATGGTATGATTCCACGAAAACAAGCTCCTTTCTACTGCACCCTTCATATTTCTCCCCTCCTGCCCCCCTCAGCCTTCCCCTGCCATGAGAATGGGGCCACTGTGCTGGAGTATGCTCAGAAACAGCAGCTGCTTATCACTGGAGGCAGGAAAGGCTTTGTGTGTGTGTTTGACATCCGCCAGAGACAGCTGCTGCACACTTTCCAGGCTCATGACTCAGCCATCAAGGCCCTGGCCCTTGATCCCTTTGAGGACTTCTTCGTTACCGGCTCTGCAGAGGGCAACATCAAGGTAACGTGTTTTTAACTGCTCACACCTTGTCTGGAAACGGGACATTTGTTTTGGCAGTCATTGGTTGATTAACCAATGAAAGCAAAGTTTTGTTTGGTTTTTTCTCTCTCCAGGTCTGGAAGTTAGCAGGCCACGGGCTCATGCACTCATTTAGCAACGAACACGCTAAGCAGTCAATCTTCCGCAACATCGGTGCCGGTGTCATGAAAGTGGAGACGCGACCGGGGAACCGAATATTTACCTGTGGAGCGGACGGCACCTTAAAAATGAGGGTTCTCCCTGACCGCTACAATATCGCCAGCAGCATTGTTGACGTCCTGTGATCGCTGCTTCAACGTCTGACGGTCCAAAGATGAAAAAAGACAAAATTATAGAGGCTTTTCTATTAGCCTGTAAGAAGTAAATGAGGATAGAGTTTGTCACCAGGCTGCCATGATTTCATTGCAGAGTTCATGGGTTGACTGCTAAGGTTGATTTAATCCTGAATGACAAACGGAGCTGCAAACCTTTTTTTTTTTCTTTCGTCCCAAAAGCTGAAAACAAAAGGTATCATACTTGATTTTTATGCTAGATTTGTTGTATTTTATTGATGAATCTCTTCTCATAGAGTGTGTCCATAGGGAAGCTATGCATGTCCTGTTCTCGTTACGCAGTGCAATCACAGGTCTATTGATAGTGCTCTGTAAAAGTGCTCAAGCAAAAATTTTAAAAGCGTGTAACTGTCGTCATTTTGTGCTCACAGATGAGTTCCTTTATCATCTACTGTAACCAGCACTCAGGTTTGTTATTAAGTCAGTGGTTTCCAGTGTGATTCAAGTTGTTGAGATTTTTTGTTTTAATGGTTTTGCCCTCCCTGCCCCCTCCCCCCTATGGAAGAGCTGATGGAGCATTGCTCTTTCCCTTCCGACGCACTGATCACTGGCTGCCCATCGCTCACTGTGGCCTCTCCTGGTTTGAGTCCAACCTGATCCAAGTGTGTGCTCTCTCTGCTGTGTCTGCTACCCGCCCGCCTGCCTGTCAGATGCCTGTTAGTGTGACAGCCTTCGCTGCTAGAACATTTCTCCCACCCCGACCCCGTGACTGTAACTTTAATGTTTCATCCGTGTTGTCTAACTCGAAAAACACCCGACCACCCAGAGAAGAAACGCAAAGGTTCACTTCTGGTTTTTTGCACAAAATATCATTTTTTTTTTTTCATTTTTCATTTGTTTTAATTAGATTGATTTTAATATTTAAAGTATTTATATGTTTGTGTTTGGTTTACTATTCATTTGTTTAACTTATTGCCTTTTATTTTACGATTGCAAGAGCTTTTATTGTATGTGATTGGAAGATGTGCAACAGTCTACTGTTTGTGAGAGTGTTTACCTCGCCAGCTGTTTTTAGTTCATCCATAAGGAATTGATATTTGCACTCAAATTCTGGAGACACTAAAAGGTTGTTTCGTATATATATTATAATCAGAGAAGAAACTGTTGTATACAAATGAATGTCTGGCTTTATTTGCCCTAGTAGTAAAGCGTTTAAGATAGTTTTACTATACAAATGATATAAATATATATAAATATATATATATATATATATATATATATATATGAGGAACCATAACAGCTTGTACAAACATGATTCTTTATTTTTGGTTTGTATTATACCAGTTGGATTAGTTGTGACTTTTGTTAAGTGTATGTACGGTATTTATTAAAGAGATTAGTGTTCCTCCCCTCTTTCTGCCCTCTACATGTGCTGTATGTGTTTTAGGAGTTTTTCCAATAGTGTTCGCTGTGCGGGTGTGTGTGCGTGTGGGTGTGTGCATGCAAAGGAAGCCAATATGATCGTTAGATGTTTGCCAGGACCCTTAAACCAGAGGGTGTATCTGAGAGACGGGTCGAGGTAACAGTTTTACCTATGTAAAGTGAATAAATGATTTTTATTTCATCAGGTTTACTTTTCTTGTTTCTTTTGTTTTGTGGACGTGGATAATTGGCAATCCTGCAGCTTCGTCACAGATTGGTAAAGGGTAAAAACATCCAAACGTACATTAAGGCCAGAATCATTCATACCACTGGCAGATGTCGGAATATTTTAATGTGCTGCTTACGTTTTTTTTTGTTTTTTTTGTCAGTAAATGGAATAGGAGCCTCTTGATAGATCAACCAACCTTAAAGGAGCTCGGCAATGTTGCATTTTTTTGGATTAATTATAATTCAGTGATGATCTTTCAGTTTACAAGGCCTCTTTGGCATCACCTTAAGCTTTAGCTCTGTCCACAGGTTCTCCTTAAGACAAAAGTCCGAACTATGCTTGGGTCGCTGTTTGTAAAACCCAAAGATGACTTGGAAAAACCTACATTTGCCAGTAACATGAACAATTTCAGGGAGGGAGTTACAGCTTTCTTCAAGAAAAGGGATGCGCATGCAATCACTAAACAATACAAACTAGATTATAGGTTCACTTTGTAACCAGGAGCGTTTTCCAGGTTTTTCTTACTGTTAAATGGGAACTAAAGTCACATTCTTACTTTAAAAGATTCCAGTCTCTTCATTGTCTTACTTGAGCCAAAGTTAATCCTTGCAACATTAAAGATGGATATTGCAAAATATAAGCATTCAATCTGTTAGTAACAGTAAAAGCAAACTTTGAATGCATACAAGTAATGCAGAAATATAATGAACTAATGTCAGCTCACTGCTTAGAAACCCATATTCAGAATATATTCAGACTTATTTGGACTGAAGGTTCCTTTAAGATAATAAAGAGTAAAGTTTACAAAGGAAATGTTCTTCTAAATATAGTGCATGGCTTGTCAACAGAGGATTTGCTTTAAGCGCATGATGTAATAGTTGTGTCTCTGTCATTATCACTCATCCGAGATGTAATGGACCACGTAAAGCCTGACGTAGCTCTGGTCCCACACATACAGGTGCCTGTCCTTCGGGCTGTAGGAGAGCATAGCCAAAACTCCCTCTGCAGACCTTAAGTCAAATGTCATATTGACTGCCTTTCCCTTCAGCAAGTCAAAAGCAAAGGTGACTCTAGCGTCCTTGATGTCTGTGACGTACAACACACCACAGGCGATGAAAGCATTGCCGGCCTTGGCGCGGGGGTAGGTGGTGTTGATGTAGGACGTGATGGAGAAGGTCTTCTGGTCCAGCTGGGCTACCATGATGCTCTCATCTACTCTGGAGGCAAATATCAACCACAGGCCATTTTCATCTGCTGCCAGTTTGAAATAGGTCTTAGAGTTGGTCAGCAGATATGAAAGGTTGTTGAACAAGGCGTTGTCTATAAAGAGAGTGTGAAGCCTCCTGGTTCTGAAGTCAAATCTGAAAAGACAATAAAAGAAAAAAAGGATTGAATTTGATGAAGCTGAAATGGAAAATATCTGACAATAAAATCATGAACATAGCCCACCTGGCGATAGTAGAAGTCCCAGCTATATGATAATAGAAAGAGCCATTGTGGACGGTGTGACCACAGCCTTGGTAAAACTTTTTAACATCCACCATCTCACTGCTGTTGTTGTGGAAAGCAGCCATACTTTGGTACTCTTTCACCAAACGGCCTGAGAAAGGTCACAGAAAACCTTCATGTTCCACCGTCTCAATAAGACCTCCTTAGCAGAAAGAGCGTTAAACCCACTCACCTGAGAAGTGTTCTGCCACCCATATTCTCTCATCGTTCGGGTGAGCGCTGTCTTTCATCCAAGTGCCAAATGTGGTTTCCATCTTCGCCACATTTCTGGGATTTATCAGAGACTTAATGAGGCATTCTGAATGAAAGCAAACATGATTAGATCTGAACCCTTGAAGATCACTGATTGCTGTTAAAATACGCTCACCATTCTTCTTAGCGGGGTTTCCCTGTTGTTTCAAAGCCTCTTTCACAGTCAAGGTTTCATCGTTTGGTACTGAATGCATCAACCCTGTTAGACATGGTATGATTGTATCAACATGATGTGCTTCCTCAGTCTGTCATTAGTTTGTATTGAGATTTTCACAGAGGTTCTTCAACATTATTTAACTTTGATATGTTAAATTAAGAAAAATTAAATGATTTGTTAGCTATAGGGTTAAAGTTGAAGCTTACCAATAGTGTGGGCGGTCTGCAGGTGAGCTCTGTGCTGCCTCGTCCTGGGCGGCCCTTGAGGCCCAGGAGGTCCCATAGGCCCAGGGGGTCCCGGAGGGCCAGGGGGACCAGGTGGCCCTAAGCGACAAGCGGCAATGAAATTATAATCTTTAAAATATGAAAATATGTGTAGTCTATAAATACTTTGCCTACCCTCAATAATGACATCATTGGACGCTTCAGGCGCCTCTCCTGGTGGTCCAGGCTCTCCTTGCTCTCCTTTTTCACCTGGCTCTCCTTTTTCACCTGGAGGTCCTGCGGAGAACATTGAATTAAACAACAAAAAACACGTTTAATACTTTGACCTTCTTGAAAAATATCAATTAATTCATTTGAAGTCGAAAAGAAGAAGTGGGAGAACTGAGAGAACTTCCTTTCATTCAACCAAAACTGAAGGCGACAGTAATGAGTAATGTTTTCTGGAAGAGTCAGATGGAAAAAACTATTTCCACCTCCTCTGCTATTCCTGTGTTAGACACAGCAGCATTGAAACATCTGACATTATTACAGTTGAAAAGATGAACTTAATGTTTTTTTTCAAAAGGGTGTTTTAAAAGGCTTCAGTGGTAAAATAAATCCACCCTATTTTTGTAGAATTGTTCAAAATATTACCGGACATGTTTAATCTCATAAACGGTGAACTGGAAGTTAAAGATATAGTGGAGGATGTTCTTTTTCCGGGTGGATCATCAAAATAAGTGGTTCCCCTAATTGTCAATCATTCTGGTGATATGTTTACGTAAGGCCATCCTACGTGCTCGTCCCCATTTTCACTTACCTGTGGTATGTCAGACAAAGTGGAAATCTTTGGAAATTTGCAAATCTTCTTTTGGAAAGTAAACTTGTATTAGCGATGCAAGCTGCAACATTTAAACAGACCGTGCATGAGGAGAAATAGGCTCATGCATAGCTCTCACACGCGTTTAATAGACGTTCCCTCTCGGGAGCAGGTACAGGGTTGTGCATGTGCGTTTTCTAAAAGTTGAGATTGCGAAAATCCTCCACTATTTCTATAATTATGTGATACAACAAGGCTTTGTGGCTTTTAAAGTGAGCAAAGCAACAGCGGTGGTGCTTACATTAGAAAAAAGATGATTTCAAATTCAGTTCAGCTGAGAATCTGAGGTTTGCCCCCAACCCCTCCAGAACAAGAGGGACAAAAGCGGCTGTACTTAACGAAATACACTAATTTTTGATGGTTTGTATCTAACTGTGCTGAACAAGCTTTATTAGTCACCATCTCAGCATTTGAATGTAAAATGGACAACGATTTACACATTTTATGAAATCCTTCCCAGATGCAGTTTTACATTTTTTGTGACCATTATGTTTCTGTTCATGTTGCAATGTGGTTTAAACACCTTCACGGTGCAGGTAAGCTGAGATTTGCAACACAAGCAAAACAATATTATATTTTTCGGCATTACAATGATTCCAACACAAAAGGAGCTAATGAGGATTAGCAGTATCTAGTGGAGACTCAAACCATCACATGCACAGAAGCAGCTAATTAATGCAGCCATCACTATGTTTTCCACATGCAGCTGCCTTATTCTATGTTAGTTTGGGAATAATGAGAAGAATTAAACTTTCAAAGCTGTAATTTTGATTTTAATTTTCTTTTACTTGGAGGTTCAGACATATCCAAGAGCACAGTCAGAATACACCATAACAAATCGTTCTACTTATCTATGTTGTTATTTTCTTGTTATTTCAATCTTGTATCTAGATACTTCACTGTAAATAAACGAGTGTTATATACTTTAAATGAGGAGATATGGACGCATGGATTCCCTAATCACCCTCAGACAAAGAAAGAAAACTGCTTGCTTCCCGATTATTAGGGAAACACATTTAGTACTCACCTAGTTGTGGGTAAAATCATTTATGTCATTTTATGTTGAAGGTTATCTATAAGATAAGAAGCTCATATTTATCTTGAAAGATAAAGCAGAAAATGTAGTGATAAATGTAAATGTTTATTTTTGTTCAGCCAAAACATGTGTGAGCCTTCTTCAGCCTGTATACTTTGCTCGTGTTTATTTATCCTACCTGAAAGTGAGTTCTTCAGCAGTGCATGATTTTTGAATATTACATTATGCCATGAATTCTTCACTAAAGGGACCATTACTCCCAGTAGAAAATGAAAAATGAAAAGAATGCAGGCTTTCTTTTGTTGTACCCTTTTTCCCTCTCTTTCCATCAGCTCCAGGCGATCCATTCAGTCCTGGAATGCCATCAGTGCCATTGTGGCCTGGCAATCCAGGCAAGCCTACAGAAACACGCATAGAGAGGGGAAAAAAATCATTGGTTGAAATGAGAAAATATTTAGCAAAGTCAGCTGATTAATCCAGAAATGGGAAAACAGGTGATGTTCCAGATTTGTTTTTTGATTCATTTATTAACTAACCTGGCGGTCCTGGTGGTCCTAAAAAAGCAAAGCATAAGGTCGTTAATAAGTTAAGTTTTAGTTTTGTCTATACAATTGAATATATCTGGGTCATTCATAAAAACATACCAGCAAGGCAAACTCCTTTGGTGCTGTTACAGATGTCAATTAACAATTTGATCTAAAAAGGAATGATAAATATATCCATTTCATTATTTACTGAAATGCAATGGAAGAAAAATAAGAGATTTTAAATAACATTAAGGTAAGCATGCAGCTGAATATTTATAAGTTAGCAGAGCTGTGATTAAATGCTGATATATAAGTATAAAACAGAGGGAATATTTAAAAAAAAATTGGTTTTGGTGTTGTTTTATATCCCCATTCCCCATTTTCCGCCATTGTAGTAATCTTGGATAGTTTTTCTCCTAAAGGAACATACTGCCTGTGATAATAGTTTTAGCTGATTTAATTAAATAAAAACTCAAAATACTGATAAATAAATATAATTTTTTGTCATGCCCTCAGTAAATCATATTACATTAAAGACTAAAACTATAACTGAAACTAATAAAAACTAAAATAGCTAAAAAAAATACAATAAGTGAATGAAAACTTCAATCAAATTGAAAATCAAAGTCAAAACTTAATAAAAATAAAAACTAATGAACATTTCTGAACATTTAAATGTTGGCAATCCTCTCACCGGCACCATGGAGTAAGTCATCATCATCATCATTTCATCCTGTGTTTTGTAATGGTGGCTGTGTCGATGCTTTTGCTTCAAATCATGTTTTAGTTCCACTTTTTCCTCCAGAACTTCTTGGCTGGCCTCCTTCAGCTGGAGCTCCTTTTCTTCTTCACGTCGATGCTCCTGCTGCAGATCCTTCTCCAGCCCCTCGCTCCTCTTGTTCCTTGGGTACTGCTGGGATTGGGAATAGTCCCCGGGGCCCGCTCTGAGTCCAGCGGCTCCTCTTGGCAGCTCCTGGAAAAACTCCACCACGGAGCTCTGTTCCACCTCTGTGAGCCTCGCTTCTGTCTGCTCCAGCCATGCACGCTGCTGATTCTGCTGGACCATGAGTACAAGGAGGCCCACAGAGTTCACCAGTGCCACTGCACACGTCCCGTACAGCACCATCCGCTGTGGGAGAGTCATGCTGGGTGTCGGGATCCACATTGTTAGGACCTCACTTCCTCGCTTCTGAGGGTCCACAATTTGCTTCAACATTCACACCAGAAAAAGGTTCCAGTTCAGAGGAAAACACCAAAAATCTGACACTAAAATCAAATCACTGTAGAGGAAGGAATTCAAAGGAACGCCATTTGGAAGCTCCAAATAATCCCAGTGATGTGTGCTCTCCACCCTGGTGGTCTACTTTGAACACTGACTGGTAAATACAGTGTTGGTGTGTTGTTCACTCAGTGCAAAAGGGGTTGTGTGTATGTGCATGCATGTACATCCAACCAGTAATGTAGGAGTGGGCATTACACAATCTCTGGAGCTTGTCTGGGAAGAAACCCCTGCCTGTTCAGTCACCTGATTTATATTCATCAGAAGCCATTCTACTGCACCGCCGTGGGCAGACTGACATCATCCACGCTCAAACACACACTTGGACATGCACATTTGTATGATGCACACACAAAAGAACTCACACACAGCATTCAATACAGTAGACACAGCTCTGAGTTGGTACATTATGGTTGTATTTTTTTTTTTATCCAGAGAAAGTGGACATCAGAGAACATCAATGTCACATCGACTCCTTTGAGTCGGTTCATCTCCTTCAGTGTCCAAACTCCTCTGTCCTCTCTGAACCTCCCCTCCAGCTCTCAGCCGTGTCACTTTTTGGCAGCGTTTTTTCATGCGTAATGTTTTTATTTTTTTAGGATTTGGGCTGTAACTGGGATATTTCACCTAAACGGTGACATTTCATCACAGAAATAAATTAACAACCAACTCTAAGAATTTGTTATTCTTTTGTTTTGGAGCTTTCAAAACGAAGTCAACTCATTTGTGTCTATAGATATGTAAATGATAAATGATGTATGATGTAAAAGATATTTAAATAAATTAAGGCAAGAAAAAAGCAACTTCTCAACATTACTGTTAGATTTGGTTTTTGCACATGCCTGAGGCTGTAGGTCACAGACGGTCAGTGGTTAGGCAGCCTGAAATGCTCTTCCAGATGTGTAAACATGTATAAGATAAAGTCTCAAAAACATGGAGGCTGCTTCTTTGTTATTTCTGTTATATTGCCCTAAGCCTAGTTGATAAAAAGCAGGGAGAGGCAACCATTTGGTAATGGAGGCCAAAATCTTGCAGATGACTTTAGATGTGAATGTTGTTATAACTTCTAAAATGGAGAAACCAAACAACAGTTTTCTCAAATCCTCCTGTTTTAATGAACTTTTCTGCGGGGCAAGAAGAGGACCTTCATCTGTCCTCCCTGCTGCCAAACTTAGAAGTTCACTAAGGCCACTGAGATAACCTGGCATATTCCCAAGGAAAGTTCATCCTCCTTCTCCGGGCTTCCAAGGTGGGATTTTATTAAAGTCTACAGGTTCGTTTAGAGAAGTAATCTCATACAAAATATCCTTATTTTAAACTAAAACTGCTATTTGAAAAATAGATCAAAGAAATTAATTAAGCTATAAAAAGACCAATATTCTGAGGCCAAAAAAAACCTATATCAGAACAAAACCCTTTGACCATATTTTGAATCCTAAAAGTCTTTCAGTACAAAGATATGTCAGAAATGTAAAGTTAGTGCAACAAAAGTGAACTTTATTGCTAAATCCTGAGAGGAAACAATAAAACTCCTGTTTCTGTCTGGGTCCTTAAGCATCTTTGCTAGAGAACAGTAGGACTAAGGTAATCTTCTCCCTGTTATCATATCTTCTCACCAGTTCTGCTAAGCCTTTAAAACGTATTTGATAATCTTCATCTTTCAAGGTTCCTTAAGCAAGTCTTACAACATAGATTTGATCATTTGAACTGATATCTACTTACATTTGCTCTGTATCTTAATCCTCTCTTCAAAACACACTGAAGCATTGGTGGAACACATTATATGTTTTATTAATTATTAACAATTTAATATCCATGAAGGGATACACAACTATTTTTTCATTGTTTGCGGTTCTAAAATCATCATAACAGAAGGTCAAGATTTTGCATTGACTTTGCACATCACCTAATATTTAACCTCTCTGCAATCTAATAATCTTGTTTGTTCAGATGTAAAGACAAAGTTGTGGTTGACCACAACTCTGAACCCAGAGACAAGTTTACAGAGGAGCTGCCGCTGCCTAATCATGCAGAAAAATCTTGGTCTAAGCGTCACACAGGGCTCATTTAATGTGGCAGGCCCTAAGCGCACAGTCCTCTGTCTGAACAGGGTGCATTCTTCGGCTAAAATGTGGGCGGTGAGCGAAATGACAGAGCCTTTCATGCAGAGAAATGAAACACAGCAAATGGAGAAATAAAGCCAAACACTGTAGACTTTGTTTTAAATTAAATTACCAATGGCTCTTTAAAGTTTCCAGTAATTCCTATGTTGGTGCATTATTTTAATCAGTTGATTTCTTCTGTTTAGACATCCTAATGGCAGGTTCAGGGCTACAGTTTGGCAAAGCATAGAGTGACCGATAAGAGTTGTTCTCTGCTTTCTCCAAATACACTCATTTTCTATTGGTTTCCTCTGGAGAACAAAAACTACCAGTCATGTTTTCTTCTGTTATGGACTTCTACTAAGTGAACCATTGACCCCAAAGTGGGTAGAAGATGGCTTAATGGGAGTTTTCATGCAAACTCCATAAAATATTCACATTTCACAAATAAAGCCTGTTTGATTTAATTAAAATGTCCCAATCAAAAAGGAATGTTTTGTAACTGGCTATCACTAATTGAAAATAAGATTCCCCTGCATAATAGAAATTAAAGATTGGAACTGAAAATCTATTTGCTGAATTCTATGCCAAAAAAAGATGGAGTTAGCGATGCTCATCAAGCATGAAAATAAGGTCTTAACAGCTTAGATTTCGGTACAGCAGCATAAGAGCTTTTATCTCCCTCACAGATTATAGTGTGGTGCTTTGCTGCTTGTAGTGTAAGGTTCTTCTTCGGTTTTAAATTTTACTATGGAACCTCTGGGGAAAGACATTAATAATGATAAAATGGTAATGTTCACGGTTACATTTTACAATATCAACCAAAACCACCATTTATAAATGTAAACAAACCATTTATAGACATTTAACTCATAATTTATTAATGTTTGATTAATTCATAAACTTCATATCAACCATTCATAAAAGGTAAATAGGCAATTTATTAAAAAGTTAAATTAAGAATAAAGGCTCAGTTCAAGTCTTAATCCTCTGATATTAGAGTTTAGAGGGCTTAGCTGACATGGAAGGGAAATATGATCTATTCACTTTTTATACATCGTTTAGATGCAGTTTATAAATGATTACCAAACAATAATAAACAATCTTTGAATTATTAATTAATTTGTTTTTTTTTACCATTTATAATTGGTGGTAATGATAGTTATTGCAAAGTTTCACCAAAACATGTTTTGTCCCCCTAATAAAGCAAAAAATAGGATAGAGGTTAGGTAAATGAAATTCTTACAGATGGCTGGAGCTATTTAGCATGTAAATTAGTAAGAAACGTGTGGAAAAAAAGATTCAGGTAACATCTGAGCTAAATATGTAAAAAGCTCTTTTTTATTCCCAGTATACCTTAACAGGTCTCAATCTAAGGAAAATATGTGTTATTTATTTCATTTATTATTTGATGCATAGTTTAAAAAGCTCATATTCTGTTAAAAATGTACATGATTTCATAATGAAAAAATAATTTAAATTAATTTAAAAGCATATAACACACATACAGCCACATAAAACAACATGTGAGCATTTATTATTTAGAAGCAAACCAACACTGAATTGCAGCTGAGAGATAAAACTCATAATGGCGTCGATAACAGCAGGGTTCCACAAGCCAGTTGTTATGTGTAGAATCCTACTCCTTTAATGTTCAAAAGAGATCAAATGCTTCTAAGCATTGAAGTGTCAAACAAAGACTCATTCTAACATGCACCCGTTCAACTAAGACCTCTACAGTCAAGGGCACAGGCACAAATCCAGCTTCTCAAGGTCTTCTCTGTAATGTTTACCATTTTCCAAAGATGTTATGGCTTTTGTTTTACCCTGACCTGGCTCTTCGCCAGCTCAACGTGCCTATAAAGAGAAAGCCCAGACAGCTTTCTGCATTTTACACTCAGTCGTGTTCCAGGGGCTATATAGAGACTGCTTTGCACCTTCCTTCTGATGGATTTGATCTCTTCCTGCAGTGCTACCATGACTCCTGTGGATCTGGATGGTGTGGTGGCAGACCTGGTCTCCATTTCCTCAAACACCACTGGAAGCCTGTCCCCTGCAATCCCGATTGCAACAAGAACCCTCATTGTGCTTGTTTGTCTTCTGGTGGTGGCGTGGAGTCACACAGAGAAAAAGGCTGTTCCAGGTACGTTTGGATTGCACGTCTTAGCCATAACACTGATTTTAACAAATGCTTCAACACGCTGCATTTCTTTAACAGGCCCATCGTTTTGCTTGGGTTTGGGTCCCCTTTTGTCTTATTTGAGATTTATCTGGACTGGCATTGGCACAGCAAGCAACTACTACAACAAGAAGTATGGAGACATTGTCAGAGTGTGGATCAATGGAGAGGAGACCCTCATACTCAGCAGGTTGGTTTTATTCATTAGTATTGATTATACCCCATGAACCTCTCTGTTATTCTAACAACATGTATGTCCCTTTTTTCTCTCAGAGCCTCAGCAGTTAATCATGTTTTGAAGAATTCAAATTACACATCTCGCTTTGGAAGCAAACCAGGACTCAGCTGCCTCGGCATGAACGAGAGAGGAATCATCTTTAACAACAACGTAGCTCTGTGGAAGAAAATACGCACCTATTTCGCCAAAGGTATCACCTAAGAGCTTCAAACCAGGTGTGCACTATGCTGATAATTAACAAGACTGTAATTCACACTGAAAAAAAAATGTTTTAGCTCTGACAGGTCCCAATTTGCAGCAGACAGTGGAGGTTTGTGTCTCCTCTGCACAGTCCCACCTAGACAACCTGCACAGCTTGGCTCATGTGGACGTCCTTAGTTTGCTTCGTTGCACTGTGGTTGACATTTCCAACAGACTC